AGGGTTGGGGTTAGTGGTAATCATTAGGGTTGAGGTTAGTGGTAATCATTAGGGTTAGGGCTAGTGGTAATCATTAGGGTTAGGGTTAGTGGTAATCATTAGGGTTAGGGTTAGTGGTAATCATTAGGGTTAGGGTTAGTGGTAATCATAAGGGTTGAGGTTAGTGGTAATCATTAGGGTTAGGGCTAGTGGTAATCATTAGGGTTAGGGTTAGTGGTAATCATTAGGGTTAGGGTTAGTGGTAATCATTAGGGTTAGGGTTAGTGGTAATCATTAGGGTTGAGGTTACTGGTAATCATTAGGGTTAGGGCTAGTGGTAATCATTAGGGTTAGGGTTACTGGTAATCATAAGGGTTGAGGTTAGTGGTAATCATTAGGGTTGAGGTTAGTGGTAATCATTAGGGTTGGGTTAGTGGTAATCATTAGGGTTGAGGTTAGTGGTAATCATTAGGGTTGAGGTTACTGGTAATCATTAGAGTTAGGGTTAGTGGTAAATCATTAGGGTTGAGGTTACTAGTAATCATTATTGTTAGGGTTAGTGGTAATCATTAGGGTTGGGGTTAGTGGTAATCATTAGGGTTAAGGTTAGTGGTAATCATTAGGGTTAAGGTTAGTGGTAATCATTACGGTTGAGGTTACTAGTAATCATTAGGGTTAGGGTTAGTGGTAATCATTAGGGTTAGCATTTCAACCCTAACAATTACCACTAACTCTAACCCTAACATTTAACCTTAACCCTATCTCCTAACCATAGCCCTTAACATTAACCCTAGCTTTTAACCATTGCGCTTAACCCTAACCCCTAACATGTGACTTTGGTCACATAAAGGTTCCTGCACAACTTTGATGCAACTTTGAGCCTGGGTTCACACTGATGCAGTGCGGAATTTGCACCGGTTTCTGTGTGATTTCCGCACCGCATCATAATTGCACCCCATTCATGTGAACCGCTGCGGGTGTGTATTTTAAGTTAACAACACCCCGAATTTGATTTGCAAAATGCAGTGCGATGTGCAGAATTCGATCTGATTCTGGGGTGGACAAAAAATGGGTTCTGCACTATTTTGGTGCGGATGCGGTGCAAATTGAGCCATACAAAATTAAATGTGATTTGCACAGGAATAGCATGTGATTTGCACAGAAATTGAATGTGATTTGCACAGGAATTGAATGTAGTTTGCACAGAAATTGCATGTAATTTGCACAGGAATTGCATGTACTTTGCACAGGAATGCAGTGCAGTTCCTGTGTAAATCACATGTGATGTACTGCACCGCATCAGTGTGAACCCAGGCTGATGCTACTTTGAGTGCCAGAGAATGTAAAGTTGCATCAAAGTCACACTACATTAACAGACCCTTTATACTTTTCTATTTGCAAAATAAAAAAAAAAAAAAAGCAAAACACGTCAAAAACGCAACACTTATGTTTTTGGTGCAGGTCCATTGAAGTCTATTACATACAAAACGCAATCTGCTGCGATAAAAAAAAGTCCCTGATCCTTTCCAATAAAACGCTCTGACTGAAAACGTACTGATGTGAACTAGATCTATAGGAAATCATGTTACATGGACTGTAGTGCGTTTCTGCAAATTCAAAAGTGCACTGAAATCCGCACAAGTGTGAACCTAGGGTTACCATCTCTCTGGTGTTCTGATGTCCAACTGAACTTTCAGTTTAAATCAGCCAAATTCAGTATATTCCAAGTGCATCAGAAGAAAGATTTTTGTGCTAATTCTCACAGTTTGTGTGATAGATGTTGTACTGTATGGTAAAATGTCTGTCACCACAAGGACACACAGAAAACAATTGTTTCCTATTTGTCCCATTCACATTGCAATGCAGCCTAGGCAAGCTCCATTTTATCACAGCACACCGTACAGAATTGCATGGCACTGTACAGCACAACAGTGCATTGAACTGCTGTACAGCACCACGAATGACGTGTATGTATTGTATCTGTTCTGTCTCTCCAATCTAAGCATTGAAAGTGTGATCTCTGTAACTTACAGTTGTGATGAGATAGCGATAACTCCAATCTTAGTTGAATAACACAGGCAGTGACTCGATCAGATGACACTTTGTAGATCTTGTGAAGTTTATTCCATAAACTGAGAGAATCTTACAACAATGAACATTGAATAGGTCAAAAGATCATAGTGTGATCTGCTTCATGACATGAGGCTAGAAGCTGAAATGCCTTACTGGGAAAAGGGGTGGGCTAGCTATACTTCATGAACTAAACCAGGGGAAAGGGAGGAGCAGAGACAAAATACAAAGAACACTTAAAGGCATATGACAGTCATGTGAAACATGACAGTATCCTTCAAATAAGCTTTGTAGAAAACAACAAAAAAAGTGAGCTGTGTGATGAGCTGAATCGCTCCACACTGCCCCCTACTGCAGCCGGGAAAGGATAACTGCAGGGAGCTGTCTGTTATAGTGTGAACCTGGCCTAAAGGCTCATTCAAACTTTTTTTCCACCCCTCTGAAAAATGACCCATGGTGAATTGCTTTCATATGGCTCCCCTCCCAGCATGCATGTTTCCTCTATGTGTGGAAGTAGTGTTCTCTCTGCAAAGGTCTAGTATATCTCCTGCTGAGTCAGAGCTAGAGCTTTCTGTACCATAGAGAGCACATGTTTTGCTGATTGTGAAGCTGGCAGAGTCCATTCACATTTGTGCAACTTACCATGCAACTTCGAGGTCCAAGTCGCACCCCACGTTTCCCAATGAGTACCATTCAAATCTGTGCGACTTCAAGTTGCAGCGACTTGAAAGTAGTTCTGCACTACTTTGGTACAACTTTTGATGCGACTTAAATCCAGCGAATGTAAAGTTGGATCAAAGTCACGCCACAAGTCGCGCCCCAAAGTCGCACTATAAATCACACTACTTTGGAGATGCTCAAATGTGAATGAAGCCTAAGTGTGACATAGCAGGGGGTGTGTTGGACCTCTGCAGGGTGACCACTGCTTCATCCCAGAGAACAAAGGTTCTTATCTGCTACATGTTGGAAGGGGACAGGCTATTACAGTGAGTAAAAGAAGTATTTGAACACCCTGCGATTTTGCAAGTTCTCCTACTTAGAAATCATGGAGGGGTCTGAAATTCACATTGTAGGTGCATTCCCACTCTGAGAGACAGAATTTAAAAAACAAATCCAGGAAATCACATTATATGATTTTTAAAGAATTTATTTGTCTTGCACTGCTGAACATAAGTATTTGAACACCTAAGAAACAGCAAGAATTCTGGCTCTCAAAGACCTGTTACTGTGCCTTTAAAAAGTCCATCTCTACTCCACTCACTAATCTAACTTAGTAGCACCTGTCTGAGCCCTTTAAAGACACCTGTCCACCCCACAGTCAGTCAGACGCCAACTTCTACCATGGGCAAGACCAAAGAGCTGTCAAAAGACACCAGACAAAAATTGTGGACCTCCACAAGGCTGAAAAGGGCTGCGGGGCAATTGCCAAGCAGCTTGGTGAAAATAGATCAACTGTTGGAGCAATTGTTAGAAAATGGAAGAGGCTAAAGACGACTGTCAGTCTCCCTCGGACTGGGGCCCCATGCAAGATCTCACCTCGTGGGGTATCACGGATGATAAGAAAGGTGAGGAATCAGCCCATAACTACAAGGGAGGAGCTGGTAAATGACATGAAGAGAGCTGGGACCACAGTTTCAAAGGTCACTGTCGGTAGAACACTACGCTGTCATGGTTACAAATCATGCATTGCACGGAAGGTTCCCCTGCCTAAGTCATCACATGTCCAGGCCCGTCTGAAGTTTGCCAATGACCATCTGGATGATCCAGAGGAGGCATGGGAGAAAGTCTTGTGGTCAGATGAGACCAAAGTAGAACTTTTTGGTCTAAACTTCACTCATCGTGTTTGGAGGAAAAAGAAGGATTAGTTGCATCCCAAGAACACCATCCCTACTGTGAAGCATGGGGGTGGTAACATCATGCTTTTGGGGTGCTTTTCTGTGAAGGGGACAGGACGACTGCACTGTTTTAAGGAGAGGATGAATGGGGCCATTTATTGTGAGATTTTGAGCAACAACCTCCTTCCCTCAGTCAGAGCATTGAAGATGGGTCGTGGCTGGGTCTTCCAACATGACAACGACCCAAGGCACACAGCCAGGATAACCAAGGAGTGGCTCCGTGAGAAGCATATCAAGGTTCTGGAGTGGCCTAGCCAGTCTCCAGACCTAAATCCAATAGAACATCTTTGGAGGGAGCTGAAACTCAGCGACAGCCCCGAAACCTGACAGATCTAGAGGAGATCTGTGTGGAGAAGTGGGCCAAAATCCCTGTGCAGTGTGTGCAAACCTGGTCAAGAACTACAGGAAACATTTGAGCTCTGTAATTACAAACAAAGGCTTCTGTACCAAATATTAACACTGATTTTCTCAGGTGTGCAAATACTTATGTTCAGCAGTGCAAGACAAATACATTCTTTAAAAATCATACAATGTGATTTCCTGATTTTTTTTTTAAATTCTGTCTCTCAGAGTGGGAATGCACCTACAATGTGAATTCAAATACTTCTGTTCCTCACTGTATACTTAGAGTATAAAGAAACAAGCTACGAGACTATTTATTTTGATGTTCCTGGAATGTATTTAGCCGATAGGTCTGCTCATTTCATGTGGCCCCTCCCTTCCCCTAAACTGCTGCAAATCAGCACACTTGTAAGTCTCAGTTTTCCAGACAAATTCAGGGGACCACTTCTCTATATCAGCAGCATTGAGGGACAGGAACAGCTAGAGAGGTAAGTATTCAGGCTTCTTTGCAGATATGTGATTCCCTCGCATAGTTTTATTAAATGAGTTTATGGTAAGTGTTACGGTTCACATTAGCCCATTCTCTGAAAAGTGATCCACAGTCACTTTTCAGAGTCCTGATCAGGGGCGGACTGACCATTTGGAAACTTGGGCACTGCCAGAGGGCCCGGGGCCAGTAGGGGGCCCCATGAGATGCCCCTGGTACCTTTTTCATAGGCTTTTTTGAGTTTGGGCAAGGACACGGGCCCCATGATCCCCTATTGCCCGGGGGCCCCATGAGTTGTCAGTCCACCCCTGGTCCTGATGGGCATTGATGATGTGATCCTGCTACCTCCTGAATGGTTGTTTTTTATGCCAAGGGGTAATTTACAAGAGTACTAATGCACTGCAAACGTGAGCCAAGCTTTTGGCTCACAATTACGGCAGGACCCCGTTCCCTTTAGTAGTTGACAGGCAGTGCTGCCTGTCAACTCGACATGCCATGTTATTATTGTCAAAGCATCACAGCCGTAGCATGCGAACAGCCCCTTTTAGCTGTACTGTGGACTTGCGGTGGACTGTTGAAGGGCAGAAAAACTGTGGCTCAGGCATGTGCTTTTACTGCCCCCTGACTGTCCATGTAAAATAGGCCTTAGAGTTAAAAGTGCTTTACAACAAAGCAAATGTAGTGGAGATACAGTATTTCAGTTTGGTCTGGCCACCAAGAGCTTCATACCAAAAAGTTTTCCGTGTCAGAACCCTACACACCAGAGATCATCCTAATCCTTTATATTTAGGCCTCAAACCATTGTCATGTAGAGATAGAAATCCACAGACATTGTGCAGGTGGATGTAAGAATTGGTTTTATGAGTCACATTCCATTTCTAACAATGAAAGCCAGATGTTGCCAGATGTCAGAGTTATGTAAAGCAGTTTCATTGTATTGGACTTTTTTTCTAGTAATGGTATACTGTATGCTACTGGGGGCACAGAAAGGTCCTCCAAGGAAAGTCCAACGACACATTACACTAATAATGGAAACACTATTTTTTTTCATAACGTGCATTGATGACAACAAACCAGCTAGACAATAAAAGATCTGCAATGGGAAGGATTATTATAAATGTGAAGGATTATTATAAATCTTTTAATTGAGTTGTATTTATTGGTTAGTGAATTAACACAGAAAGCTAAAGGAACGAGGCCTATCTTCAGTGCAGTATAGGTAAAACACAGCTTTATCTGGCAGAGAATCATTTTACTTTGAAGCACAGCTTCCATATTTGAAGTGTATGTACAGTACAATTAATACTTCTCTTAAAGTGTTACTATACCCACAGCAGTAAAATAAGTCTGCACATGCAGTAAAGCATGCTTGGTATACTCACTGTGGAACCTAAGGGGTTAATCCTCCGCATTGTGTAAAAAGGCCATTTGATCCTGACTTCTCTACCCCTCTTCTTGTTCAAATGTCCACCTGATAAGACAGACTGAACCCGTAGCCACATGCACATGCTCAGTTTAGTGTGTGTTACTAGAGAGGTTTTTTTTTCTTGGAAGAGTGCATGTGATCAGCACTGTCCAGACAGAGGGTCAGGGGTTCTGCATCCTCCTAGAGCAGACAGAAAACTCCTCCTACAAGCTTTAACCATTGGTCTGCTGAAGTCACAAGACAGCTCTAACTGCTAATGAGAAAAGGTATTTAGCAGTTTATATTTACTAAAATAATTGCATTTCCATGTTCTGTGTACTGTGGGAGACCAGATATAGTGAATGCAGGGTCCTGGGTTTAGTAACACTTTAAGTTTTGAAAACAGTGCAGAAGCATTAAAAACCCCCGTTGGGTTTTTATTTCCTTCTGTGTCCCTGTTGGTTCAATTCACCCTCTCTGTTTGTCTTGGTAACCATTATTGCAGAAACAGTCAAGAGAATGCCAAAGTTTTACTAATATCACTGAAACAAAAATAAAAGGAAAATCTTCTAAAGAGGATACCTGTTTAGTTTTGGTGAGATACTCCTCAAGAGTTAAACACTTCTTAAGGGATGCAGACATTGCAGATTTTCTCATCAGAACACAAACAGTGCAACAGCTGATTATAACAAACACGACCCTCCTATTCAGAGTTAGTACTGAAAAGATATAGTGGATCAAACATCTATTTTTTTCAGAGCAGAAATAGATAGGACTTTGAAACAAAAATCGTTAAAATCCCTGCAATTTACATTGATCACCCAGAGGGGATTGTTTTTTCTCAACAAAAGTGGAGTTACTCTTTAACTATATTGCTATCACAAGGGGCTAGCTAGTCCCCTATGTGACAGCATGGGCAGGTGACAGGTCCTCTCTATAGAGATGTCATGGATCTATTAGATCCCTAATGTCACCTCTGCCCTCCGCTAAAGCTAATCAAGCACGGTTCATGCTTGATTGGCTGCTTTCCTGGCCACAGCAGCCAGGGAATGACAGTTCTTAACCTGGAATTGATAAAATACTCTTCGCTTCCAGGTTCTTTAGTTGCAGAGGACATCAGGAACGGATGTTCATCAAGATCTTCCCGCACTCCATCCTGACACTAGTCAGAAGAGTCAGTAGTAGTAGCGGATAAGGGGGAGGGTGGGGAAAGGGGCAGCAAGGCACATTCGCAGTACCGTAAAAGTGATGTATAGAGCCACCTGGATCATTTTTACTGAAAAGTCAGTTTTTGGCTGAAAGAAACAGTACCAAGCCCATGGCTGCAGTCATGAGCCATGGATGGCAGGTGGGTAACATACAGCTAATGGCTCCTCAATGACATCAAGTACTGAATCCAATTAATATATGTGATGCACAAGCTTCCTAAAGTAAACAAATCCTCCATTTTTTGGAGTGATATTAAAGAACATGTAAACCCATCATTTCATATTCTTGATATGTGCCTGCTGTACCATGTACTTGTATGAAAAAGTATCCTGTTCTTTTTGTATTGCTTCTTTTGTGTGAAATACCTGGTGAACCTGCCAGTCCATCTATTTTCCTATTAAAAGACTGACCAAACTAGCCAGGAGGAGAGCACAGCATGCTCCCTCTAACCCTCCCCCACAGCCATTCACTGGGAAGATCAGTGTATGTGGTTTTTCCTCCCCTAGCTCTCTGAGCTCCTTTTGCAACTGAGAACAGAGATTATCTGATCATTTATAAAAAAAAGGAAAAAAAAGTATTTATAGTTTTTTTTTATACACTCACCAGCCACTTTATTAGAAACACTTTGCTAGTGCCAAGAAGATATGTATGTACCGCATACTAGCACATTATGAAGGACTTACATTAAAATGAAGCATTCTAGCGGGGTGTTGTCACCACTGCAGAGGCTTTCATCTTCACCCGATCTTCCTTCCGGGTTTGTGAGTCCCGGGTCACGTCACAGTTCTCTGAAGGAACGGCACGGGTATTTCCAAAAAATGCTGATTTTTATTACTAATTAGGTTTTGATCCTGTAATTGCTATTGCTATGCTGCCCTGATCATTGAGCATTTACTGAGTTTGGGACATCAGTTGGGGAGTTAAAAGAAGAAGAATGTAGGATAGAGGTGCGGGGCTCTCCTCCTTGTGAGATAAATGGTGGTGTTGGCACCCGGGGAGGCAGTGTGATGCTTTGGGCAATCTTCTGCTGAGAAACCTTGGGTCCTGCCATTTATGTGGATGCAATTTGACACCTACCATCTACCTATACATTGTTGCTGACCAAGCACACCCTTTCATGGAAACTATATTCCCTAATAACAGTGGCCTCTTTCAGGAGAATAATTCCCCATGACACTGCAAAAATGGTTCAAGAATGGTTTGAGGACCACAACGAGTCGAGGTGTTGATTTGCCCTCCAAACTCTCCATTTCTCAATCCAATCATGCACATGTGTGATGTTCTGGAAAAACAAGTCCAATCCATGGAGGTCCCACCGCGGAACCCACAGGACTTAAAGGATCTGCTACTGATGGCTTGGAACCGCTACATAACATACTTTCAGAGATAAATGCCCAGGTGCTCACCCACAAAGAAGTCCATATAAATCCAAAACTAGAGGCACTCATGTGTCTTGCAGAGGAGGAAGATCAAAAACAGCAGTGTTTTTATTGTCAACGTTTTGATGAAGCTCAGTCCATCTTTCTCAAGACACTACAACATAGAAGTGAACAGACTAAGAAACCCAAGTCCCACCCACCAACAACACCCCCCAGTGATGACCTCACACAGTGCAAGGATTAAAAGACACATACAGGGAAAAGGTAAAAAAAAAAAGATTATTATTATACAGGATTTATATAGGGCCAACAGTTTGTGCAGCGCTTTACGATATGAAGGTAGACATTACAGTTACAATACAATTTGGTACAAGAGGAAACAGAGGGCCCTGCTCGTTAGAGCTTACAATCTAGGAGATCACAAAAGAAGTAAAACACAATAGTTCATCAAAAAAAAGAAAAGCAAAATCCTAGCTGAAAACCAGCTATCAAAATAGTTCCTAAAAATTACAAATAGCAGAAACAGTGGAAAAAACAAAGCAGGTAATGAATACTCACAAGATGGCCACCATAGCACATGGCAAACACCAGGCAAGCATAGACCATCCATAATACGGGCAGCTCAGTGGCTAACTGGTTAGCCCTTCCACCTGGCAATACCAGGGTTATTGGTTCAAATCCCAACCATGGCACCACCTGCCTGGAGTTTGCATATTCTCTCTGTGCCTGCGTGGGTTTCCTCCCACACTCCACAGACATGCTGGTAGGCTAATTGACTTCTGACTTCTAACCCCACATGTTCCAAAAGTAAACAATTATAGGAGCATGAATAGCACCCAACATAAGACCATAGATTGACAGAAAACACCAACAGTACACAAAGACAAGAATACATACAAATGTGCATACTAGAAATCAGTACTCCACTACCAGATAGAAGAAACTAGAGGACTCAGCTATATAAATAGTTGCAGAGAAGGAAAGATGGTGTGATCTCCAGGAAAAAAACATGCCATCATAAACAGGAGTAACTTTGTTGTCCTAGCATATCACGTGTTGTTTTATTATTTTTGCATGGAACGTATTATGGATGGTCCATGCCTACCTGGCGTTTGCCATGTGCTATGGCTGCCATCTAGTGAGTATTCATTACTGCTTTGTGTGTTCCACTTTTTCTGCAGTTTGTCAGTTTTATGCAGTAACTATTTTGATAGCTTGTTTTCAGCTAGGATTTTGCTTTTTTTTTTTTTTGGATGAATGATTCTGTTTTACTCCTTTTGTGATCTTTTTTTGAACTTTTCCTTGTATGTGCCTTCTAACCCTTGCACTGTGTGAGGTCATCACTAGGGGGTGTTGTTTGGGTTTATTAGTCTGTTCACTTCTATGTTGAAAGTTAGACTGAGCTTCATCAAAACATTGACAATAAAAACACTAACTGTGAAATATAAAGCACAGCGCAAAAACAATATAAACAAATAATAAAAAATAAGAAATATAAATAAATGTCCAAATAAATATATGTGCCAAAATGAAAAAGTGAAAAGTCCCAATCCAAAAAAATTGAGAAGATGTTTAAATCCAATGTGCTCCAATTTTAACACAACGGTGCTGTATACAGAAACTTCAGTATAAGAGGTTGGCAGGGGAGGAAGCAGAGAGCAGTGGAGGGCCTGGCGGAGAATGACACCGGCCCGGCAGACACAGCGAGTCCACAGCTCCACACAGCGCCGGTACTTATATAGCTCCATCAATGGCGCCAGGACGGTTAGTCCAAGTTACACCGTTATTTGTATTTTCCACCTGGAAACCTGCTACCTTCTGGATGTTTTATGCTCAATAAACTACCTTACTATACTACACTATGGAGTTTCTTCTGCTTTAAACTCCCCCGACGAGGATTACTTTACAGATTCGTAGGACTCGCAGTAAGGATTTCCATATACCTGGTGAGCTGACCTGTCCATCCCTTAAAGGGACCCCGGTTACCTTTCCATCACACACCAGAGGCTACAAGATCCAGGCACACTCAGTGAGGGATTCTACTCCATTCCTGACCAGATCTTGATGACCTTCGATGACATCAGGATATATACATACAAATGCGCATTTTACTATGCGCTCTGGGGAGTGTGCATTCTTATCAATTTTGACTGCACAAGCACCAAACTTCCAGTTGAATACAGGATTCACGTTTCATAACACTGGCTATCATATGAACTATTTTTTACAGTGATTGCATTTTATTGGTCATTTTTGTTTTTATATATTTTAGTGCTGCACTATAATATAATTTGTCTGTTTGAGGTTTTATTGGTTACCTGAGTGCTTAGCAGCTTTTAGTGCGCTCGCAACTATATTTATTTGAGAAACTTCAGTGTGTTCACATCACCCGTGACATTCAACATATACTGCACTCACCAGATATATTGGACTCTAACATTAAGAGTCAAACAAGCTTTGTGAATATTACATATGCTCCATAATAGGGATCCTCACTACTTCAGAACAAACTCCAACAGAGGGATTTCCCATACTGATTGATAGGTGTAAAAAAAGAAAAGACTAATA